GATGGGATCTCGAGATATGGCTTTCGGTGGTACGTCGAGAACACATCCCATATACATATATCATATCCCTTTGATCGTTACATTTACCAGCTTATCTCCCCTTCGCTTTTAAGATTGTATTAATACGCTAACGCATACATAGATCCGCGAGGTTTTGTTCGCAATCGCCACGATCCACGACCTGCTAGTAACGAGGATGGGTTAAATCCTCTACTTCGCCGGGGCAACGAGACTGGTAGAGACGGATCTCCTCGTCCGCCTCACCTTGGTGGCCTAGTCCGACTAGGATTTCCTGGAGGTCTATTTGGAGGCAGTAATATCGATAGTCCGATGTCCCTCATCAACGACCTTGTGGCGTCCCTTCCCGCTTCGATACACCGCCATGGACAAGCTTTTCATTTTCAGATAACACAGGGACCACGTGGCGACATACACGACATACATTTCCCGTTTAGTACACCACGCGAATCACGCTCGGACAATCGTAGGGAGACGTACCAAGAGCCTACCCACGCAACCTCATTCACATCCGAATCAACAATGACCCGATGGACGGAAGAAGTCAAAATGATCTTCGGTATGCAATATACGGAGAAGTCTCACCGCCTTGTACCAGCACTTCTTTACTACATTGTACCACCCGCCATTCAACACGAGGTAGAGCTCAAAGCCAAAGAAGCGGAGCGTCAACGACAACAAGAGGAGGAACGCAAAAGGCGCGAGGAAGAAGAGAGAAAAGCGCGGGAAGCTAAAGAGGCCGAGGAAAAAGCTGCTCGGGAAAAGCAGGAGGCCGAAGAGCGTGAACGAGCAGCGGCTGAGTTCGCACAAGCTCAATCCCAGACGACTACTACCCAAGAAGGCGAGCAGGGTGGTCACGAAGAGCCGGAAGCCATGGAAGGCGTAGAGATATCTGACGTACCAGCGGCTGTAACAGAAGACGAACCGGCCACCACCCAACCGCGCGCATTCACTACAATTAGAGGCGAGCAAGTGGATGTTACAGAGTTGGGTATCGACCCCGACTATTTGGAGGCACTTCCTGAAGAATTTAGAGAAGAGGTCATTGCTCAGACTGTTAGCTCACGCAGAGCAGAAGCTCGAGAGGCACCCGGAGGATCAGGGGAGCAGACCGAGGTATTCCAGGAGTTCTTGGATGCTCTACCAGACGACCTCCGCATCGAGATTGTTCAGCAGGAGCGGGCAGAACAGCGCCGACGAGAACGAGAGGAGATGCGACGCCAGACAGCCATTTCCGGCCAAACGGCCGAAGCTCAGGACATGGACACCGCCAGTATATTGATGACATTCCCACCCGCGCTTCGTGAGCAAGTTCTCATGGATCAAGGCGCGGATATTATTGACTCTTTGCCCCCCGATCTCGCAGCTCAAGCACGCCGACTAGTCCGGTCTTCCAACCCTATTGCCCACCATGATAGACCGTCTTCTGGCACTAGCCGGCCACGAGATGGTGCTCAACCCAGTGGAACTACTGAAGGAGACAAGCCTCACCGAAGGACAGTGGTGCAAATGCTAGATAAGCCAGGCGTCTATACTTTACTTCGTCTAATGTTCATCAACATGAAGGGCGGGTCTCTGGAGACTTCTTTGAAATCATTGTTTAAGGATGTCTGCGAAAACCGACAAACCCGGTTTGATGTCGTTAGCAATTTACTCAAGATCTTGCAGGAAGGCTCAACTGATGTAGACGCCGTCGAACGAAGTTTTGCGTCGCTCTCTATCAAAGCGAAGCAGCCCAAAGAAGTCGACACGAAGACTCAAACCCCCCAGAGTCTAAAGCGTACATTCACAAATATCAGCAACACCGGTTCTGTCCAGGCGAGCTCGGAGACATCACCGCTGTTGATTGTCCAGCAATGCCTTGATCTATTATGCTACCTTGCGGACCAGAATATCCACGTGCCTTCTCTCTTCCTCACCGAGCACGAAGGGGTTAGCACTACTGCTATCAAACGTAGTCTCAGCCGCAAAGGAAAAGGTAAAGATGTGAAGGCTAACAAGTATGCCATCAACTCGTTGCTTGCTCTCCTTGATCGCGATCTTGTCATGGAAAGTTCTTCTATTATGGATAGCTTGTCGCAACTATTGAGCCGAGTGACGGGACCGCTGCTCGCCCTAGATCGCAAGCAAAAAGAAGCCGCAGAAGCGATCAAAAAAATCGATACTCAAGCCGCAAACGCAGCAGAGCCCGGAACAACTGCGCCCGCAGACCCCGCGATCGCGTCAACCGATAACACAGAGGCTACAGAAAAGAACAACGCAAGTACGTCGGAGCAAGCAGGGGAATACGCCGCAGGTAGCCCTGCTGAGGAAAATGAGCCCTCTGGCACCTCGGTTGCTGATGCCGAATCATCCAAGGCGCTAGAAAAGCAAGCGATGCTTAAGCGGATTAAGCAGCTACACCCGCCCGTTATCCCAGTACACAACCTGACTCTTATTATTAAGATATTTGTGGCTCGAGAGTGTAGTTCCAAAACCTTCAAGGAGACCTTATCGACTATTAAGAATCTATCCGTGATTCCCGGGGCAATGTTGGTATTTGGAGAGGAGCTCGCTCGTCAGGCCCAACTCTTAAGCGAGAAGATCGTCGTTCACCTAGACGAGCTATTACCACATATTCAGAACGCTGCTTCAGGCACTGAGATTCAAGGGGTCGCTTTAGCCAAGTTTTCTCCTGGTGCTTCCGACCAGAATAAACTTCTTCGAGTGCTGACAGCTCTTGATCACCTATTCGCACAGAAGAAGTCGGATGCAACAGAAGGTTTTGATTCTGATAATACTAAGAAGCAAGATTTACTCGCTACTCTCTACCGCAATTCAACCTTCAACGCATTATGGGAGAAGCTGAGCGCCTGCCTGAGCGCAATTCGCGAGCGCGATAGCCTACTCAACGTAGCTACTATCCTTCTTCCCTTGATTGAGGCCCTCATGGTTGTCTGCAAGGATACTACCCAAAATGAGTCGTCCCAGAGCCAGGCAAGCAAGGATATAGTTCTTACGAGCCCGCAACCAGAGTCTCATTTGGCAGGTCTGTTCTTTACATTCACGGAAGAGCATCGTCGGATCCTGAACGAACTTGTTCGCAATAATCCATCCCTTATGAAAGGCACCTTCTCGAACCTTGTCAAGAATCCTAAAGTCCTGGAATTCGATAATAAGCGCAGTTGGTTCAACCGTAGCGTTCACAATAAACAGCACGTCAGTCAGCGGCCACATCCGTTATTACAGCTACAAGTTCGCCGAGAGCACGTTTTCCACGACTCTTTCAAGTCACTATACTTCAAGACGGGCGAGGAGATGAAGTTCGGAAAGCTGAGCATTAGATTCCATGGCGAGGAGGGCGTAGATGCCGGTGGTGTCACCAGGGAATGGTTCCAGGTTCTCGCACGACAGATGTTCGACGCCAACTATGCCCTATTCGTGCCTGTTTCAAGCGACCGAACGACCTTCCACCCCAACAAGCTCAGTGGTATAAACGACGAGCATCTCATGTTTTTCAAGTTCATCGGGAGAATCATCGGCAAGGCCTTGTACGAGGGTCGTCTACTTGATTGCTATTTCAGCCGTGCAGTCTACAAACGAATCCTAGGCAAGCCGGTCTCGGTCAAGGATATGGAGTCCTTTGACCCGGACTACTATAAATCACTCTCCTGGATGCTGAACAACGACATCACTGATATTATCACTGAGGCGTTCTCGGTTGAGGATGATGAGTTCGGTGTTACGAGGATCCACGACCTTATAGAAAACGGCCGCAACGTGCCTGTGACGGAAGACAATAAACACGAATATGTGCGCCTAGTAGTTGAACACAAACTACTGACATCCGTCAAGGACCAGATGGAGAATTTCCTAAAGGGTAAGCTACAAATTCCCTCGACATTTCTGAAATTTAGACTAACCTATGAACAGGCTTCCACGAAATCATCCCCGCCGAACTCATATCTATCTTCAACGAGCAGGAATTGGAACTGTTGATCTCTGGTCTCCCGGACGTTGATATAGATGATTGGAAGAGCAACACGGAATATCACAACTACTCGCCATCCTCCCCGCAGATCCAGTGGTTCTGGCGCGCAGTCCGATCGTTCGATAAGGAGGAACGCGCGAAGCTTCTACAATTCGTCACGGGAACCAGTAAAGTGCCTCTTAATGGCTTCAAGGAGCTCGAGGGTATGAACGGAGTCAATCGATTCAACATTCATCGCGACTACGGGAACAAGGACCGCCTGCCAAGCTCTCACACGTGCTTTAACCGTAAGTATTGTCCTGTTTGTTCTCGGAACGATATGATTTACTAACAGCTACGCAGAGCTCGATCTACCTGAGTATGAGAGCTACGACATTCTCCGTAAGCAAGTGCTCAAGGCCATCACAGCTGGTAGCGACTACTTCGGCTTCGCCTAAGGGACAACTAAGTCCAGTTACGAAGCCCACGAAACAATAACAAGACCTAGCCGTGTTATACCCCCGCATCATGATTGCATCAATTTTGTACAGCATAGAGAAGGAGGATAGGGGTAGGGTGTGCATGATTTTTCTTTCCGCAGGCGATATTAGGAGGCATTGGGTGAATTGAGATTCCCGCGTGGCATTCGGCATATAGATTCTTCTGAGAGCCTCGCCAACGGAGTGCAGGCCGTTGGCGTTAGCTAGTCTACTCGAGACTTTGCCGAAACCCTCTCATCGCAGCATGTGTAGAGTAGGATTCACTTAGTAATAATGATCATGGCTTTACATTAATGGTGTTATGACTTGTGGATTATTGAATTATTATGTTGCTGGCTCGTGCTATAGGAGGGTATATCCACATCCAACAGGTAATAGGTAGGACTATACGACTATACTAAGCGGGCAGCGCTTCTTAAGGGCTATGCATCAAGGCTGTTTGAAGCATTGATTCGTTAATATAAGTGGGGTATATCCTTGCATCTTTCCTCACCTCGAGGGGTGGCAAGGGTTACATTAGACCTTTACTTATACACATGGCCAATATCTAAAACCCAACAGCTTTTATGGAGCCAACCGAAAATGGTTATAGGAACTGCAGTCTCTAGCATATCCCTCCTCAGGATCCTGCAAGGGGTGGCTGTAGCGACGAAATCACCTGAAAACATCCCGCGTCGAATTATACAAAGTGTCTGTACGGGCGCCGCCAATAATCCTGAAGATGGTGTTGCCCTGTCCTTCAGTGACTGGCGTACCGCTATAGAAACGAAAATTCCCGGTGAAGATACTCGACAGGTTGCTAACATAGGGCTCTCTATTGCGTATCTCCGTGAGCTCTATACAGGCAAAGAAGGCGATGCTCGCAAGGCCGTAAGCGAGGCTGACCTTGTTCTCATCTGGGGACTAATCCATAGCGCTCTCACCAGTAAGTTGCTCACGAGACAACTCTGCACTGCTTCTCGAAGCGCGCAAGGATTTATCTCTGTGGCCCTCTGTAGCTTGATCAAGAACGGGAACATAGACGAGCTATTCCGGCTTCATGTGTGGTTACCGGATGGGTACAGAGGAAATCATGAAGTTTCCATCCATTCTCATCAAGCATTTGCCCAGAGTTGGATCTTGGCTGGCGAAGGGATAGACCACTCATACCAGGTCGAGCACGTTAACGATCTAGAAACTGCCACTCACTCGGAATATGCCCTGGCATGGAGTGATGGTAAGAATCTGGGAACCAACTACAAAACAAACCAGACATTCTCGACCATCACTAATACCAAGAAGTTAGTTCGTGTTGTTCCTCTGAAGACAGATCTTCATCGTCGAGGAGTAAGCTACACGATTCCTGCAGCCCAGTACCACAGTACTGAGGTCGCGCCTGGTCGGTTCCATGCTACCCTTTTTGTTTTCGACTCACAGCGAGGATTTGTCCAAGATGCCGGTGTTCTCGGTCCCAAGGACGGCGATTCCTTCACGCAGCTTCGCGATGCTGCCGGTGTGACACCAGAGGCCTTGGCGTTGACTGTCGATGCCGTGAGGTCTTGGGAAATATTCATGCATCAGGGGGAAAAGCACATTCACAACGCTGAGTGGGAACATGCGCTGCGAGCTTTCAGCAAAGCCCTCAGCCTGTGCGATAACGACGACAGTTTCCCTAACAAGGCTTATCACACGCGCGAGGTTCTATACAAAATTGGGCGTGTCAACCGGTGTCTCGGTAGATACGAAATTGCTAGGGACACTCTGGAGAAGGTCATAACCGACATGGAAGTGAACGTGCTGCGTGTAGACTGCGTTGGCGAGCTGGGAGTCGTCTATCGACATCTGAACAACCTCACAGATGCGATGCGCATGTTCGAGATACAGTACCATACAGCGAGACAACTAGGTCTTGAAGCTGAAGCCTGCCGCGCCGTTGGAAATCTCGGCATGGTAAACTATCAGATATCTCGGCGAGACCACGACGACAAGATTCTTGACCTGGCAATTGTGCAGCTTCAAGAGCGCGTACAGCTCGCCCGAAACATCCAGCAGTCATTATCCGCAAAAGGCAAGTCTAAAGAATCTAGCGCTATGAAAAATGGCATAAATTGGGAGATCATTGGTTTATCTCGTCTCTCGCTTTGTCTCTCAGCTCGGAATAACCTGAAGGGGGCGGTGGAAACAGCTCAGCAAGCCTTAGCCCTCGTGACGGGGTTTGGTGATCCAACTGTCGTTGCTTTAACTCGGTTCTTCTATGGACATGCGCTGCGACTCAGCGGGCGTCTTAAAGAGGCTATGGAACAGTTCAATACGTGCACCGGATGCACACCCGCCATCGCGCTCTGCAAGGAGCCTTCGGAAGAACACTTGGGGTACTTGAAAGAATTAGTAGATGCCGGCGTGGACTTGGAAATCGTAGACGAGCAAGGATACACGGCACTGGATTATGCCGTGTTCTGCGGAAATAACGAGTTCAAGAAGGTCGTGATCAACGGTCTCCAGCGAGGAGCCAGCGAATACGAAATCGAAGCGTGGCTCATGGGAGCGAGGCTCCGCAGGAGCTATCGCAAGCTCTTCCAAGAAGTCCTCCGCCCGATCCTTATCAAGCGCCGCCATCACGACGACTGCATGCACAGGCTGCGCAGCGCATACGCCGAGTCGCTCCGCGCCGACGACGACGCGAAAGCCATGTTCTCCGGGTTCTCCTTCGTGCCGTACTCGGCCTTCCGCTCCCTAGGCAGACTGCCGAAACACACCGACGGGCTGGTCAAGGAGTTCACCGGCGAGTCTGGATCCGAGGGGTATAAGAACCCCGACTTCGTCATCTTCTTCTCGTATAGGTGGAGGGGGGCCTCGTCGCCGGACGACGAGGCTAATACGCAGTATAGGCGGATGCTGGCTGCTACCGAGGAGTTTTTGAAGCTGCGTACTTCGGTCGATAGGGCAAGGATGGGGATTTGGCTGGTGAGTTGCAACGGATTAACCTAACTCGCTTCATCTCAGCTGTTGTCGAGTGTAGATGCTAACCCCCGCCCTTTTTTGTTTTGTTGGTTATAGGACTGCGCTTGTATAAACCAGAGCAACCCTATGCCGGGCGTCCACGCCTTGCCCATGATCCTCACCCAGTGCGATGCTGTAATCAGCATAGCGGACGAGTTCTACTACGACAGAGCGTGGTGCTCGGTGGAGATCCTTCTGATCCAAACGCTGAAGAAGTCGTATGGGCTGCATTTGTGGTACGAGCAGGTGTATGCGGATTCGGAAGAGAAGCGGTTGATTCTGAGAGACGGGCCTGTTGGTCTGGAGATCTCCGTTGCGGTGAAGAACTTGAGCTTCGAGGAGATAGATAGGCCGAAGGTGATGTTCTTGGAGAGGCAGAGCAAATTGCTCGGATGAATGGCGGATTGCGAGAGAACGAACTGTTTGGTTGGGTTATAGGGGAGCGGAAAGGGGCAGGGCATAGATGTAAAAATAAGACGTAGTTATTAACACTAATATCTGAGATACGACGTAGCCAAGCAAATTCACGCCAATATACAATCTTTATTTTTTCTCCCTGCTCTCATCGTGCTATATACAATTCTTTGCCCGAGTAGCTGTGGCGAACTTCACATAGATAGGTATTCAACTTATATGTACTCGTACCTCCACACACGTACGCGCACACACATGCCGGCGGCTAACAACAACCCCTATTTAGATAAAATCCGCCAAAGACGGCAACACCTTCGTAAACGCGGTTCCGGACGGCGGCTCGATCGAGTACATGTAGTCAGCCCACCAAGGGCCAGCACCCCACCATAACCATCCGGTCCTATACGGATTTTATATTAGTTAACTCATCCTGTAGTAAGTAGTATAATATAGAAGATTGGGGGGGAATTCCTCACCAGACGTCCGAGTTCTCCTGCATGTGGGCCAGCAGGCCCTTGACGGCTTCGATGCACTGGGCGTTGGCGCCGCCGGCGGTTTCGCCGATCAATCCCTTCTTGTTGTTGGCCTTGAGCCAGGCGGTGGCGGCGGCGAGACGCTCCTTGCCGATTGTTGCGGATACGCAGGCTTCGGATGTGCCGGAGCCGTCCGAGTCGAGGTATTGGTGCTGGGGGGGAGGGGTTAGTTTGGTAGGAATAAAGGGGGGAGGGGAAAGGGGGGCGAACGTACCATCTCGTAGATGATCTTGTCCTGGGGGTCGGTCAATTTACCCATGGCCTCAGAGGTGCCGCTGGAGACCTGCGCAGATATTAGCACCAACAATAATCATAGCGTTCCTATCCATAACGAAAACAGCGGAAAACTCACCCAATGCCAAGCTCCGGTCCACGAGTTCCCTTCGACGAAGATATACTGCGAAGTAGCGCCGGCGCCGCGGATGGCGTCGATGGCGGCCTGGTTGAGCTGGCCGACGAGGGCGTTGTCTTCGTCGTGGAACTCGTTGTTGGTGTCGAAGATGACCTTTTCGTTGGTCGCGTATCGCTTGGCTACCGTCGTCCACCACGCGCCGAAGCCGGATACGTCCGTGATGATGTTGTCGTAGTATCGCCCGAAGTTGTGCGGGTCTACGACGGCGTAGGCGCCCCTGGGGGGAGTTGTGAGTATGGAGGAGAAGGGGAGGGGAAAGGGGGGTATTGGAGTATTGGGGTTAGACTAACTGGCCGGTGATGAATTTGACGATCTGGGGAGTTGGTTAGTTTTGTGATAATGAAATATAGGTACGTGATGTTAGGACTTACGTCGTCAAGGCCGGCGGCGTAGGTCTCGTTGACGGAGCCGGTTAACTTGTCTGGGATGATACGCTCCCTGGTTTATGTTCAGCGTCGGTTGTAATTTGATTTATATAACAGGTAGAAACTAACATCATGATCGGGATGCGGAAGGTGTTGAAACCCTTCTGGACCAAGGTAGATATGGCATTGTGGTCGGGCCAAGTGTAGTCCTTGCCGAGTTGCCCGGGAAGAGCCTTGTTACCGAATTCGGCTCCCGACTCGCTTACACCGGTGAACTGGAAAGGGCTTGCGCGCTTCTTGGTCTGGGTGGGCGCCGCGACGGCGCTGGAGATAGCAGCCGTAGCCACGAGCAGATCGGCGAACCTCATAATGTCTAACCTAGGTATCTATCTAGACTGCTACGAAGACGTACAGCGTGGGGTGTAGGAGACAAAGCTGGCTACTCGACATCCACGATGAGAGGTGGACTTGCTCGGCCTCTTATACTTCCAGGGCGGAAGCCAACCCTCCGCCCCACGCAAAGGAGAATGGAAACATAAACAACCACGTCCGGGGTCACCACCCGGCGCTAAAGGTAATTATGGCGCGAGGGGATCGTACATCTACCTACATACGGATATGTAGGCCCATTGAGGCTCATATTGAAACTGCTCGTCCCTCGCAGGACCTGGTGGGGGTGATGCAATAAAGACCAGGACGAGACTCTGCATCGGAAGGGCATAAGCGGTGACCGGTAGCTTGGCCCACGATGCTTAATTTTCGGTAGGGTAGTTTTTTTCGATGCCGGACCCTTGCAAAGGTGGGAACACGGGCCCTATTAGTCTACTTGTTTTTTTTTGTCATGGAGCTATGACATGACATGACATGACATGACATAAAAACGAACAAGTAAGGTACGTGCTAAGGGAGAATATAATGAAAAAGGCACAGAAGAGATAGGGCCGAAAGGACGTGATAGCAGAGCTTTCTCGTGAAGCTCGTTGCTGCTTCCAGGGGGGCGGGGCCTAGCTCTCCGCATGTATATTAGGTACATTAGGTATATTGGGTATATTAGGTCATGCTAAGGTACGCCTCCTCCTCTCCGCGTGGCGACGGAAACTCGCCAGGGGCATGAGAGATGCAAAAAGAAAAGTTGGGGGATTGGAGTAAATGACGTGAAACATAGCCACGGGGTTAAATGGGAAAGACAGCCAGGTGCCCCGACTCGTATGTATTTGGAAACGCGTCTAGGTTAGCCGGCTTCGGCTTCATGACTCGGGCGGTGTTATGTATGTAGTGTTGCTTTGATTATGGAGACTTTCGATGGCGTGGATGTGGGAAGTTTACTATTATGTACATATGTACATAGAAGTCTGGATTGCGCGAGTCGGATTATATAAGGGAGTATGCAGGGGTTGAGAGAATTATTGACCAATCAGAATGGACTTTTATATACGGATGACCCTTTCAAGCTAACACCTGCCAATTGGAAGGCAAATGTACATAAAACATTACTTTTATACTTCAAGTTATACCCCGACAAAACAGTAGATTGACAATTATCTAGTTGCTTTTAAGGGGAGGGATCTTGGTTCAAATAGGTGAGCAGCTGCCGCTAAGAATAGTCTGTGCGTGACGAGCCGCCCTATAGACAAAACATAACGAAGTCAGCAAGGCGTTGAGCCAACACGGGGGTCAAGTAGTTAATTAGAAACAACATATGCCTGGTCTTATACCTAGGTTACTTGTTATTACTAGAAATAGCTAGAGTACCTCAAGGTTGAATTGTGCATATTTTAAGGTATTCTTTGGATAAAGTAAAGTGATAGTTACATACACTTGACACGGCAACTTAAGTTTCCGTTTACTTATTCTGTGCGGATCAGAGGAGACAATTATACTATTTGTTAATAAGTGTATAGATTCAAATGAAGCAATAGTGCGGATTAGTTCCCTACCTTAATAAGTATCTTATCAATAACTAGTTAACTATGTATTTAAACAATAAACTTTTAAAGACTAAATGTCAAAGTGTTGAACGAGTCTACACCTCATCCCAAAGTCATCCTTGACCATCAACCCAAAGTCTAACCCGATTTGGCAAAAGCTGGGGCCTTGGATCCAACATTTTGATTGGTTGCATTTGACGGGGTCCGCTTTGGGGTGAGCTTTGTACGACTTTGGGGTGAGTTTTTAGCGTTTTTAATCATTAGAATAAGGCTAAATGCCCTGTAATTACAGCGCATTATAACCACTAAGTTCCCTGTATTATAGCGCTAAGCACTTAGGTTTTTAGCGCGCTTTATCTAATCAATTCCTAATCGATTAGGAATTGATTAGATATGCGCTTACCTATTTTTTATCTTTTACTTATTTTAAAATAAACTTTTTATATTTAAATAAAATAAAATAAAAATCAATGGTTAATCGATTAATAATTAATTATTAATCAATTATATTAAATTTATTTATATTTTATCAAGTCTTATAATGCTGTATAAAAGCGTATATTTACATAAATATAATGTTAGTGAAATGGTAGTTGAGTTTTTGGTGCGCTAGTACTATTATGGTGTAAAATGGTCCACATATGCCTGATTGGGTTAGACTTTGGGTTGATGGTCAAGGATAACTTTGGGATGAGCTGCGCCCTCGTGTTGAACTAGGAGAGCTGCCCCACAAACCCAAACTCAATAAACTGATATCGCGGAAGTATATTAATCCGCTATCGTGCTCTCTTCTAGGTACTCACGATCCGGGGATATGCATTTACCAAGTACATCTACGTAGAAATTATTGCGACGAGCTCCTCCATCACCAGCATCAATTGTCCAAATCCAGACAAAATGCAGCCGACAAGGTGGCTCTTGCAAGGCCGATCCGTGTGGAAGGGTAAGCTATTTCCCCTTTTCCCCTTCCATCATTCCTCCCCTATACTCAAACGCAATAATGACTACGTAACTAACCATCACCACCACCTCCAGGGCCGCACATCGTACCGTAAGACACCCATCCCACCATGACATTTCAAACCCATCACTCTAACACACCCGCCCGCCTGCCCACAGCCTCGCCATTGTGCGCCCCCTCCCGGGCGAAAGAGTCAAGCCAATCCGCACGCAAGCCCGCGCCGCGACCATCCTGCCTAGTTTCGTCGGCCTCAAGTTCCAGGTGTACAACGGCAAGGTATACCACGACGTCGAGATCACCGAGGAGATGGTCGGCCACAAGCTCGGCGAGTTCTCTCCGTACGTTCCGTCCTATTCGGGCACTAACACTCACACTAATTTTACTCCATCTAGGACGAGAAAACCCTTCGTCTGGTCACGACGGTAAACCAGGAACAGCACGATGAGGTGTGGGCATACCGCGGCGTTCTGGAATTTTCAGATGGGGGGTCCTTTACGAGTTTACCATCTGCTGTATATTTACGCGCTCGCACGACCATACCATTAGAGAACACGCAAGATACGTCTCTTCGCAACGTCTATCCGTGTGCATTATACGCAAAGCTAGTAACTAGACGGCCGCAGCCCGTCTTCTATTTGTACACGTGTACAACTTCCGGGCGCGACTAGGCCGGGTCTGAAAAAACAACAACATAAGAAAAGACTATTCCTGAACGCCAAACACCTTTTCCCTGAATGTGACCTTCCGTTCCTTATGTGTAGACCTCTGTGGATTCTGCTGCTGTTCCGTAAAAATATACTAGGCCCGGCGGCTTGTGTAGTACAACGTCAAAAGTTTCTTTGTGAATATCCAGATATGGCTTCAGGTTCAGCTGATGACGTATTCCCTCGCTCCCGCTGTGATGCATACTCAGATGCTTATCGGTAGAACTCGCTTCGCTTGACGTTGACGCCGTATTCACCCACGGCCATACCCAGATCCTCCATGGTGAGGACCGTGCGGTTCTGACTACCGCCCTGGCCGCCGCCACCGTAACCCGCTCTCTGGATACCCAGCGGCCCACCACGCCCTTGATCTTTAGCGTTGGCTTGCGCTTGGCCCGGAATTTGGAGTCCTGCGGCGGCACCGAGGTTGCCCATCGGGTTGTTCGCGCTGGTGTTGGATGCGCGGATGCGGCTGTATTGGTAGGCGTCGGCGGCGATATCGGCGACGAACTTCTGGACCGCAAGAGCGATGAGGCGCGCGAGGCGCGGGTCGGTGTGGGGTGGCGGGGGAAGACCGGCTTTCGTCATGTAGTAGTTGGTTACGGCATCAGGGATCTGCAGGATGGTTAGCGCATCTTATATGGCCGGTAGTTAGCCATAGGGTGCTCACGATAGGCGCGTAGTCGTCCATCTTGGTTAAGAATTCTTTCAATGAAGTATCTTTCCGAGTTGGCATCTTGGGCTCCGAAGGTAGAATGGTCTCTTCCTCGTTCTGCTGCGAGGCGACGGGGGGAGCCTGTTCATTTTCCGTGGGCGCGCTTGCCATGTTTGCGAAGTCGAGATAGTTGGGGGTCCCTAATTGGATGAATTGATGCTGGAGGAATCGAGGAATTCTTTCAAAAAGTTGTTCGAAGGCCGTAAGAAGCACTCGATCGATAGAATTCAAGAAACGGCCCAGAAACCCCAGAATACTGGCCTAAGCCTTAATGGGGTCTCTAGTTACTAAGTTTGTATAATCTCAAGTTCCAACAGTCACCTTCGACTGAGTCGTTCGAATGATTGTAACGGCGGGTAACTCGTACGTCTCGCAACGTTGAGATGACGTCGTAGTCTGCGTGAACGAACCCGATTTTGACCTGGCTTATAGACGAATATCAAAAAACTAGTTTCCAAATACACGCGCCTAGTCTGCGTCGCTTATCTAGAAGGAGTCGCGGGTAGATGTTTATAGATAAACTTGAAAAGGTTGAAAAGGCTGGATGAAGTCAAAGTTCAATGAAGTTGACAGCTTCGCGGTCCGTTCGCGATATGCAAGGCCGATTTCATGTGGGTCCATAGGTAATTAGCCTCATTTCTTATCAGCTTATCCCCCAGCATGCCAAGATTTAAGGCTCGATTACCTAATAAAGAGAAGTATAAGGTACTTTTGTACCTTCCTATCAATGTCACAGATCACGTTCAAAGTACATATAAATATCATGTAGCATGTTGAAGGTAGAGATGTAGGAGCCAAGCCGGATGAATTGTTTATCAAAAACGATTTGAGCCTATTTTGTGTGTATGGATATAGTATACTTTGTAAGCCAGAAGGCATTTAGAAGGGCTAGTTATGTGGTCTTGTGACAACTCAACTCATAACATTTCTCCTAATTCTAGACTTGGTGCTTCTAAGTTGCGTTTAGTGCAATTTTCCTTTCTAGCAGCTCAAGCAGAGAACACCCGGGATGCATATAGTAAGATGGGTATTCCAGACAGAAACTCAATGCACCCAATGCGCATCTTGTTAGGCGTAGGAATCCTTTGAGTAGCCATCAATGTAAGTGCTTAGGGGGCTATAGGTTCGAGTAATTTTACCCTCGCCTAGTTCGGGTGATGCCAGCAGGCTGTCATTCCATATTCTGCATGCGGCCTCCGAATATCCTCGAGCTCAGGACTTTGATACTGTAAGGTATAGGGATAAACTTCTCGGCCTCTGCAACCCTATCGAACTTAGGAGCCATATATAATGGGAATATGCTTTAATTCACGGCCTTGTAGCAATACGTTGGTATGTCTTCATCCAGTTCCCACGGGCTCTGGGCGTTGAGAGAATACAATTTTGTATTTGACAATCTCAACCACCTCCAGCTCCTCAACCGTAGAAGAGCTCGATGTCTCGTCAGCCATTTCTACGTCTTCTTCCGACTTTGTCCGTTTTCTGATAATAGCCATAGCTTTCGGTAGCTTTTTGGCTTCTCCAGTGAGTCTCTGATGCTCGCCCACGTAAAGATAGATTTGTTTCATCCAAGCAGTGCTAGATGCGTCTTGAGTTTCTGGGTGGTAGTCTGGAAATACGAGCCGTCCAATGTTTACTTCTTGGGTATTGCCCTCATTGTTTTCCGGGACGTTGATTGTACCTTGAAGCTCTAGAATAGCTAAACCGGAAGGTGTTTGTAGAAGCTGGGGGAGTGGACTTTGGTCAGCGGTTTCGGTGCCGTTCTTCCTAGGGTACAATTTAATAGAAGAGGCCATTTTAAGAATATCGCTAGGTAATGCACCTTAGTAGCATCTCACCAAATGGAGGCAATGAGATGAAGGGCAGTTCAATGTTCATAAAGAATTAAAAGTTAAGTGGGCCCAGTCAGTACGTACCCCGTCTTGAAGGACATTGTAGGTACGCGTTAATGGGATTTCTTCGGAGAATTGACTTCCTTTATCCTTATCAGAGATGAATCATAGTGGTCCATGCACCAGTAGCCCTAGCGCGTCTCCACTCTTCTCGCACGCAGGAAAAATCGGATTAGGCGAAGTAAATCCACACAACAAGTTTGAACCTTTTTCCAATTCCCATTAATTTTCGGTGTGTTCTCACGACTCGACTTCATCCAACAACACCCAACACAGTCGACCGCGACACCTACCGCCGAGATGAAGCTGAACATCTCTTACCCTGCCAATGGCAGCCAGAAGCTCATTGAGATCGAAGATGAGCGAAAGATCCGTGACTTCATGGAGAAGCGCGTATGTCACACCTAGACCTTTCGTTACCACTCCTGCGAATTCTCGAAAAGCCTTTAATCCCCCTTCGATATACTATGTACAAGCACTATGTACAAGCATCAAGGGGCTTCTTCAACATTTTTCGCAGCAACTACCTAAATATTGGGAAAACTAACATGTATACTACCTTAGATGGGCGCTGAAGTCCCCGGCGACAACCTCGGCGATGAGTTCAAGGGCTACATCTTCCGCATCACCGGCGGTAACGACAAGCAAGGTTTTCCGATGAAGCAGGGTGTCATGCACCCTACCCGTGTCCGTCTCCTACTAGCCGATGGTCACTCCTGCTACCGCCCCCGCCGTACCGGTGAGCGCAAGCGAAAGTCCGTCCGTGGCTGCATCACTGCCATGGACCTGTCCGTCCTCGCTCTTTCCGTCGTCAAGCAAGGCGATAACGAGATCCCCGGTCTGACCGACACTGTCCACCCCAAGCGCCTCGGCCCCAAGCGTGCCACCAAGATCCGCCGCTTCTTCGGTCTCAGCAAGGATGACGATGTAAGTGCACCTTCACTCGTCATCGCCTGCTCGGTCGTTGCTTCTGCGGGATGAGAGAGAAGAATCCCTTGCAATGAATACCACCGAGCAGAGCCTGAGAGGAATATCATGTTGTAAGAACACCCAAAAGATGGCTAATATTCTGGTCTTGCCCGCTATATAGGTCCGCAAGTACGTCATTCGACGAGAGGTCCAGCCCAAGAAGGAGGGCAAGAAGCCTTATACCAAGGCCCCCAAGATCCAGCGCCTGGTTACTCCCCAGCGTCTCCAGCACAAGCGTCACCGCATTGCGCTCAAGCGAAGACAGTCCGAGAAGGTCAAGGATGAGGCCGTACGTTGACCATTCCAAATATTCCCTTGCTGCGTATACTAACAACAGTCTATAGAACGAGTACGCCCAGATTCTGGCTAAGCGTGTCGCCGAGGCCCGTGCCCACAAGGCTGACGCTCGCAAGCGTCGCGCAAGTTCTATGCGCAAGTAAATACCTACAGGCGTTTGGTCGGTGTCTTCTCTGGTTCTTGCATTAGGGCATAAATCGTGGTGGCAATGGCTTTTGCAGGGATGATCGGTGGCTGGTCATAAGATAGGCAAAAGCCTCACATGAAATGTATTCCCGGAACACAAAAAATTAGGATGAAGATTCCCAAGCCGCCGCTTTATTTCTATCTTTCCAGGGTTGTTTATGCTATGACCCCGTATGGGTACTCATGATGCTATGTGACATAATGCCTCTTTATCCCAAACATGTTCTTCCAAATTCGCCGTAACCCAGGCTAGAAATAGCCAAAATTGTAGTACATGATGCATGTATATCCCGTAGTCAAATGCAGTATAATAAATAATAAACTCCGTACTTATATGACCTCAAATTTATGCTCTACGGCGTCCCAGTCTTGGCTCTTCGCATAAACGGTTCCCAAAATGCAATTTCAAACTCCCGAAACCGTGGAGTCCACCTTAATCAATCCTCTAATAGCGCACGCGTATCTTTAGCAGGATTATTACCTGCCACATTCTTCTTCTGCTCGACTCGTGCTCGTGCGAGTAAAAGATATATTATAGCGGAGCATGTGTGAATAGGAAACTTTAAGATCTGTCAGTATGTAAGGCCCTCGTAGTAAGGGGGATAAATAGATGAAATGGTTATGCGTCAGGACGTACCTAACACTCTCTCCGTTGTGAGTCCGTCGGATAGCTTCGGCTATCGTAGGACTCACGTCGATGACCCGGAGCTTCTTACACCGTTGAACCTTGTCGCCGAGGGGCACGGTATTCGTGACGACGATCTGGCTCAGACAGCTGTTGTTGAGGGTGGTGATGGCATCGCCGCTAAGGATGCCGTGGGTGACGACGGCGATGACTTCGCGGGCGCCGTGGTCTTTGACGGTAGCTGCTGCTTTGCTGTAAAGGGGTAGCTTAGTATTATGATTTGTGTGAAGAGATTGGGGGGTAGAGGTGCTTACGCCAAAGTACCGCAAGTATCGGCCATGTCGTCAACTAGAATTGCAACTTTGTCTACTACGTCACCGACGAGCACCATCCTACCCACGACATTGGGACGTGGGCGCTCCTTGTGGATAAGCGCAAAGCCACGGTCGAGACGGTCGGCTATGGATGTAGCCCTATCATACCACGTCAGCTTCTCCTCGTCCGTGTCGGCCAGCGGCGCGCGCATAATAATCGACCTACCTCTTTGCACCACCAGCGTCCGGGCTGACAATAACCGTATCTTGACCGGCAAGGTTCTCCCGAATCCATCGCAAGACGCTGGGTTCGGCGTATAGATTGTCCACGGGGACATTGAAGAAGCCTTGGATCTGGGAGGCGTGGAGGTCCATCGTGATGACGTGGTTGCAACCGGCGGTCTGCAGCATATTGGCGATAAGCTTGGCCGAGATAGGCGCACGACTCTTATCCTTCTTATCCTGCCGGGCGTAGGGGAAATTAGGTATGACGGCGGTGATGCGCCGGGCGGAGGCTGTACGACAGGCGTGGATCATGATGAGAAGCTCCATCAGGCCATCGTTAATGTCACCCGGTGCGGTGGATTGCAAGATGAAGACTAGAGAAGGGATGAGTTCATGACCGAATTAATCGCATGGATCTGCTATAAGGTGAGGTCGTACCATCTTCGTCTCTAACTGACTCGCCGACTGTAACGCTCGTTTCTTGATTTGAATAATTCAAACTCATCGTCTTTGCGATCTCAACGCCGAGCCTAAAGTCGCGAAGTACTTATCGTTAGCCAATTCCATACCCAGTTGCTTCTTGGAGCGGTACCGATCTCCAATTTCGTCATCTGATCGTCTGAAGGAAAGCCACCAATAGCCGAGAACCTCCAATTGATACGGTTGCGTCGTCCAAAGATAAGGAAGGATTCAAGAAAAAAAAACATACCGATCGGCTACGGCCTTGGCCAAGCTCGGGTGGCTGTTACCCGAGAGCAGCTTGATTTCGTTCGCCATGTCGCCCATGTTGATCAGAGAAGGCGGGGGAAAGAGACCAGGCGGTGCTGGATGCTCTGGTTACTTAATAACAAAAAGTTTTGATCCCGCAGCGTCACAAGCAAGGGAAAGAAAAATCTTTGAGGCAATGGCGCTGATGCGGTGCCACCGATCAAAGTCCGAGCCACAGTCCAATCGGGAGGAATCGCGGGGTCGTCTCGAGCTGTTATGGTTGGACGAATTGGACCAAGGGGTCTTTTGGCAAGCTTAAAAAAAAATTTGCTCCAAGTGATGGGCTGTGGCTGGTGTATTAAATATGTATTTTACTTTCGGCAAGAAAAAGACCGCGCACACGTGGTAATCGGGAAGTTCTCGAGAGGCTTGGTAGTACAGTAGGGGAAGAAATTTTCGGAAGGATCAAAAGAAATACTTGGGGAACTTGGGGTATGTCAACTGCTGCACGGCATATGTAACGAAAAAAAAAAACCTTAGGTCCTTTAAGCCATTTAAGTCGCCCGGAAGACCAAGACAAGAGAAAAAGTCTGTTTTTGATTCCGCGCTAAATTAGGCGTTTTTTTAGCTCGACTTATTTTTGGAAGCTAGCCCCCATGGGATATGGATATATGTCCTCGTTTAAGTTGTCAAACTCTTAACCTTATACCCTGGTTTAGACAATTTAGACAACTCAACTTGAGAGCTCTTATTCTCATAAGACATAGGAGTGAGCTGTACGTTGTTAATGAGACTTTACTCATATGTGATTCCACACGAATAAGCTGATTGAGGTATAGCTTAAAGAAAAGAGCTAGTTATTTGATTCACAAAGTATTCATCCAGAGTTATATAACCTCTTAGTTATGGCAAACCAAGTTTTCTTCTATTCAATGTATCAGGATTTAAAGACATCAGAACTAAAACATAACTCAATTAAGCCAGCATGTTTTGTTGCTTAGTCAACTTTTCCAAATATTATTACGTTGATAGCTGCTTTCGTAACCCTGTCTTAACTAGTAACTTGTAGACATAATTAGTTACTCTATAATAAGCTTCATAGAGCCAATGATTTAACCCTCTTTTCGTATCGTAACACGTAGAGACACCCAAATTAGCCATTTCAATACATTGGTCATGACTATACGAAGCACAGGCCAAGGTTTGAAAAATACCTAGATACCTAATGTTCTTAAGAAAAGGAACATAGGTACAAAGTAGTTAAACTTCTGCCTTAGGTATCCTCGAGTGACCGTTACGTACCTTCGAAACAGCTGTGGGTCATCCACCAGTTGAGCAGTGACAGACTCCATGGCAGTGTCTGTTGCTACATGTTGCTACGCGTTACCTAGATACCTACCAGCCAGACACCTGCCAAAGTAATAACAGTTATATAGCATAACAACAGACCACCCAGCCCAAGCCAGGGCGAGGTGAGCTCTCTCCGAACGGGTCTATCGTGACGTTTGGCTTAGTGGTTTAAGCACTAGCGCTTTCAATGACTGTTTGGGGATTCCTGCGGGCCTAACATCGAGAAAGTGGCAAAATTATTCGTGCCCGCTAAGCTGACCGGAGGAGGGGTATTTCCCATGAAGGGAGGGTTTTTGGTTCGAATCCAGCCCCTGGCAATATTCTTTTCTCTTTTTCGTTTTTTGAACCCGGTTGATAGTAGGTGATGATGCTCAGTTATTTCTTTCTTTTTCCCTTAGTTAAATACCCCCTGACCTATTTATTAAGGTCCTTAGTATATGAACCCCTTAGGTGTTTATTCAAGTGTTTATTCAATATTATTCAATACGAAGCTACTTGCCTATTTATGAGCATCATATTACTACTTACATTACAACTAGCGTTTGGGTTTTATGACATGACGGAGCGATAGATCAAGGTCGGCATCCTTGCTTGTCTTAAAGGAGCAGCCAGTCTAACTAACCCTTGTTTTTCAACCCCTCTTAACAGAGGCAAACTACATAGTAAAGGGCCGACCTTATATAATAAATGCTTACACATATTATCTAAAGCGTAAGAAAACCAGCAGTGACGCTATATTGAAGATTCGTCAAATCACTAAATATATAGCAAGGGTCAGTCAATCTACACCTATAGATTAGCCGAGTACGCCGCTTGAAACCTCACAGGCGATAAATATCAACAAACTACTTAAAAGGCTCCCATCAGCAAGTATTCGGTGTTTCTTAACTATTATGAGGTAGAGTTAGAAAGTATGTAAACAACTTAATTTTTCCGCAATGAACTCTAACTAACCCTAGTCATGGAAGCCCGTATTTATACATGCCAGAATTATCCCTTGTTCTAGAGGTCTCATCTAGAATCCTAACATTAATAGTAGCATGCTTCACGTATAAAGGCGTTAAGCTTTGCTTTTATTAAAGCAACATATATATAGTCTACTTACTGTATATCTTCTTTACCTCCTGGTGCCTTGGATCCTCCGCCGTGTGACTGTTGCGTCCCATTATCTCACTTACCTGTCAGGTGCCAACCGGCACCAACTGCAAACCTGATTTTCGCCGAGTATACTTCGCCACCTGCTAGTTTGTACACTAAGGAACTCAACATGAGGATGGTAGTAGAGGATATCAGGCAGGCTAGCTAACCAATCTACCTAAGATAATAATACGTTGCTTGGGTGTATATAAGATGTTCTTCTAGTGTAGGAAACAGCTGATGAAGTACCTTGACTCACAGTGCCTCTCGGAGCAACTCCTTCCCTCTCCTATTTGCCGAGAAACCGCTATGTAACAGATGATGCTAAATAGCCGCTCGTTCCATCACCCCAAAGCGAGCCCATCTGGTCTAGTGGTGCAATGCCTTCGCACGAGAAAAAAATGCTGACGCAAATTCCAGTTCAAGTTGTCTTTCGCGTTCCCTGCACGGTCGGCCATCAGCAGGCTTCTCGTAAGGTATATCTAGTCCCCTATTACTGACCGGACATGCTAAGCACCCCGGATGACCTCATCCCTAACGAGCATTTACAACTCGTAATGTTCAAATTTGAAGTTTTCTTGGATATTGTTTCGTGTTTCTCACCAAAGGCCTACAGGCGACTTGTTACCGGTACGTACAGTTTAATATCCTACCATAGATCAGATGGGTTCAACCAAATTTTTTTCAGTTGATCACCACGCCCAGTTTATTTTTCATCTGCCTAACGGTATATTTGACTTTCCCGGCGCTCATCCGTGACCTACCTTGTCGTTTTATCTTTGATCTCGTCCATACCTAGGAGTCAATGTCTCAGATTTACTCAGCACTTCCAGAGTTGAATCTATGATCAAATGATTGGCGATTTTCTCTTCAAGGATGATAGGTAGTAGGGAAGTAGCTCGAGACTGTTTCTACATGTTGGTTAGATACTTCTAAAACAAGCAGGCGTGGGTGTAAAAACGTATGAAGCTGTCACGAGAAATGGACTGCCACCATGTCCCCGGTGTTGCAGCTTCTACTTCGACAACCTTTACATAAACATGGGACTAACAATTACGATCAAAATGGGGGCTATTTCTATCAAGTACGTTCCTTAGGTCACTGGTTTACGAAGTGTGCCACGGCGTCATTCAGCGCATTTGAATTAGAAAGGGAAGTTAGGGCCAGGGAATATTTCACGCGCATGGAAGACTGTGATAATAGTGCTTAACTGTAGTAATTGAACTGATTGGGTGCCTCAAATCACCGCGATGGCAGTGATACAGAAGCAATTGAAACTGCTGTTTTGGTCTATAATAATAGCTATTCGATCATGTGAATAGGTTCATCAATCAGTGTAATGGAGCAATCCCTGATTCGATTAAGATGTCTATCCGAGATAGATTTATCTTTTCCAGTAAGAACAAACTTCGAAGACGTGATACCGTGAACTGTGCTAAAGTACTAGAGAATTCCAGACCATTTCGACCCTTCCGACTATGCGTAGACCATGTTGCAACCCTTGCGGAGTCGGTAGGCTTCGGTAACCACGATGCGGTCCTCGAGGGGCAGCACGTTCTTGCAGTTCTGGCCATCCTTGCAAGCGCCTACGTTGTATCCGTAGCGGGGGACCTCGTAGTTGTCCTGGATGAAGCCGTACTGATCGATGGACAAGTGGAAGCACATCAACTCCACACACGTGATAGACTCGGCACCCATAGGTCTAAACTTCCACTTCTTGGCGAGTACAAGGGCCTCATGGAAGTCAGCCTCGATGACGTGACGGACATAGATGCTCGGGGCCGACTTGTGGCGAAGGCGCTCCAAGGCCATGCTGTTCACCATGGGGACTACGTCGTTGAAGTTGTAGTACTTGGCCAGGGAACAGAGACAAGTCAAGAGTTCGCTGGAATGGAAGTTGTTGCGAAGCCAGTGAAGGACACGTGCACCCTCAGCATGCCAGTGGTTTAGAAGGTAACTCCACTGAGATCCTTTGACCGAGCTGCGTTCAGCCTGTGAATTTTGTGGTTTAGTATACACTTTAGGCAGGGTCGATAATGAACTAGACGTGGTTACTTACCTCGCTCTGCAAGGTGCAGCCATAGCAGAGAATACCAGGCGTGGCGGTCTTGATAACCTCCGTCGGGATAGGATGCTGGCACTTCGAGCACCAGATTCCGGTGGGAGCATCCATACTGGCACTGGCATTTATAATGTTAGAAGGATTCTTGAGATGTAAAGGTAACATATAAGCAACGGAGATATATAGCAATGCAAGTTGTACTTACCAGCGTCTACTTATTAATAGACTGATGACAAGATGTGCTGAGGTTGATGTTGTATGGAAAGGAGAAAAAAAATACTTCCTAGGAGAAAGGGTGGAAGTAGAAATATTTATATAGTAAGGGAACTTGGAATCTTGAGAACGATTTCAACCTGAAGCTGTAATTTTCTCATTATACTAGTACCTAATGCTCTTGCCTGAGTTTACCTTGTTTCCCTTCCTAAGGAAACTTGCTACAGATGCATTTGGACTAATAAGAGCGGAGCTCCGTGATAAAAGCGGAGCAAATTAGTCAATTCGGAGCTGGGTTCCTTCCAGTGTAGTTGAACTCCGGAGGTGCACAGGCCGGAAAAGTGGAGACACTCGGAGGTATGACTAAGAGTGACTTCCAATCACATTTTGCGTCCAGCTTCTTTCAATAGTATCATCCAACTTTCACACCTTCCACACTTTCCACACTTTCCATACCAAAAGTAGATCTTACATATTAAAATGTTCTTCCCCAGAAGATCATCTTAGGTGAGCACGTGTGATCAAAACGTGAATGTTGGTAGGGCTTACTGATCTGCTACACTAGTTGTCACAGCGGGTAAGCTAAGCTGATGAAATGACTAGGATCATGTAGTCTTACCCAATCCTCATTAACCTTCATCAACCTACCCTTGTGGGAAATCCTTGGGCTGACAAGAAACGAGTTTAGCTCGCGGAAACCCCCCATGATAGCGGTGGTAAGAAACAATATTGCTCACGCCATCTCCACCCTCTTCTCTACCCAAAACAGACTCGTTTATTTGTTTCCTGTACGTTTGAATACCAGGGTCACGGCAAATTAGAACGTCGGATTTTCTCTTCAACTCTTATATAATGTAACCTGATTAGGCAAGACCAAGACGCGAAGGAACGTTTCTTGTAGCCTTACCGTTGGGGATTATCTGTCCCGGGTTGTTGAGTGGGAAACAATTACCTACCTATGCCCTCGCAAAAGTTTGGGCTGAGATGACTTGATCAGCCATTTCCATAGGGCGCCCGGAAGCGTCTTACACAACCCTCAAGTACAGGCCAATTACCCGTAGACGGAGAGAACACTGTTCTTTTCACTTCTCGCCCCCCCATAGAATGGCATCGAGTACATAATAGGGTATTAAAATGAATAAATTAGGAGCTGCGCTCCTATTACTGTGGTCGCTTTGGTCGACAATGGGAGCAGGACTCAGCGATGCTACGCCTAATACAGAGACGCCCAACAGGAGAGAGCAGGAGGACCGATTGGAGAGGCCAATGAGATCGGAATGGTCTATAATACAGAATGATGGAAATGGCGAAGATCGAAGAAGACAACACCAGCCGGCGTTGCTTACCCCAACCACAGTGGCCCTCTTTCTTCCAACAGAAACCACATTGGCAGATCGCCACCTCCAACATCGCCAGGCCGATGGGAGGGACAATGGGGGTAAAGAGGTCGATGACAGTCCCGACGACGACAAAACTCCTAAGTCGCCTGCCGACGTTGTAAGTCTCATATCTAGCAGGGTGTCAACCAGCGTATCGAGCAGCGTGGCGGCCAGCGTGTCCGCCGCCTTTTCGACATCGCTTGCGCAAGTCTCAGAATCGGCATCTAGTGCCATCTCATCCGCGCATGAGGCAGCGCGCACTCTAGGACCGATATCACCTACAACAGGGGTTGACACACCAGCGACAACCGATGTCTTAGTTACCTCGTCTCAACCTGCTAGCATTTCTACCGATAGCTTACCCGCAGTGGCTGCCACGACAGCGAATGTAGCAAATGCCCAGGAGAGCGCTGCCACGGTACGTATAAGACTACTTTCTCTGTTTAAAAGAGCTTGGCAATTAGATTATAGACATAACTAACAACGCTTCAAGGCCAGCGCAAGTAGCGCCCCGACTCAAGGCTCATCACTCACCCCAGGAGCCATCGCGGGCCTAGTCATAGGAATCGCAATCGCCTCATCATTGCTCTCAGCTGTGCTTACATATCTATTCATGCGCCGGCGCGCGAGACAACAAGAGCCTCAACCCAAATTCGGACCCAGCTTGGCGCCACTACAACTCAGCCCTACCTCTGGGAGCCGTGGATTTATGAACCACTCCCATTCCCACCCCCTCTCTAACGACCTCTCGCTGTTCCAGATGACATACACCTCCCCAACACCCACAAACCACAACCGAGCGGCCCACTTCAGCAGCGACTTCACGCCAGACGTGAAGCAGCGGTTCGCCCCGGCTTCCGCTCCAGTTTCGACAACAGAATACCCAGCAATGGCGCTAACCACACAGCACGCCACAAAGCTCTCCGCGCTCCCCGCAAAACGCACCTCGCGCGTGCGCTCCCGCCCGCGCCCTCTTTCCGACCCTTCCGTCGACGACGGCCTTGGCCCCGTATTTCCCGTCTCGCCGCTAAGCTCCGAAGGCGACGGCCCATACAGGAGTAGCAGCATGCGCACGGACCGACGCCCGTCGCCGCTAAGCTACGAGGGCGGCGGCGGCGGCGGTACAATCCCTTGCTCCACATCAGCGCGGCTATCCCTCGCGCGCCAGCAGAGTCTCAACGGCGGACAACGGGCGCAGCTCGTACGCGTGGGCAGTCAGCGGGGTCCGGAGAGGGAAAGACAAAGCGGTGGTGGTGGTGGTGGTGGTGGGCGTTTGGCTGCGCCGGACCAGGGGCACGGCGAGGGGTTGACTAGGTTGTACTCGTTCACGACGGATACGAGCGAGAATGGGAATTCGACGGGCAGCGGTGATGCGCAGCCGCAGCCGAGTTATCTACAGCCGCGGCCGCTGGTCAAGTACGCGCTCTCGAGTAATACCGGTAACTCCTCGCCCGGATTACAGGTCCAGTCGCCGATCCCGCGGCGGCCGGTCGATCCGTATTACATCGAGAAGGGGGGCAATTACTATTAGGGACCGCGTGGCAACTGGAATTGTCGGGATGGTTGTTGGGGATGATTATATGATAATGATGGGGGAAGAAAGGGGAGAGGAGAGAGCTCAAGTTGGCGCTGTTAAGGACGTGCTGATTAGAAAAGCGCTCTGGTTGGCGTCTAAGAGCTTTATATCCGCCGACGAGTTGTCGGCGCTTGCGATATCTACTTTGTAAATACCTGGTCTCAAACACAAGTCTGAGACTACATATATATACACTATTTATACCATTCGAGCAACTCTATCGCGTCCCATTTCCCTAGATTATGAGCGTCCACAAAGCTGTCTTCAAAAAGACATAGTTGTAATTCAGCGTTAACCAAGTTAATTGTGGCACTTAGAAACTAAAAACTCCAGCATAATAATTTTCATTACCTTGCAACGCAAATTTTATGTACATTACATCAAGCTTAGAGCAAGACTCCCTACGGCCAAGCACTTTGAGGCCGAGAAACCGTCAACCCCGCCTAACCTAACGCCAGCCATGCACAACGACACGCCGTAAAGACGTGTTCTAATACTAAGACAACATCCGAGCCACCCTCCTCAACCTCGTACCCGCCAGACGTGGCCGGTACTTGCCCGGGCCCGTCGTCGCTTGTGGGCTAGACCTATGACTATCTTGTAGACCCGGCAATATTCGGGCCACATTGAGACACCAAAGACGTTATTCATCCACCATGGTGGGGGGCAAGATGTGCACGAAAGCACTTATACGGGCAACTTGAACTTCCTGCCCTTGAGCACCTTGTTGTAGTAGATCCAGAAGAAGTCGCTGTACAGAACCGTCTGGATGAGACCGGCGATGATGGCGATCCAGTCAGCCTTGTGGTCGGGCTCGGTGAGGTACCTGTAGATCCAGTTGGGGATGTAGAGAGTGCGGTAGATGCCGAGCGCGAAGAGATAGTGGGTGGTAATGACCTCAGCCTCGCCGGTCCTCTGCAGCATGAACAGTTGAGGGAGGATAGCTACGGATTCCAGCCAGATCGAGAACGCCCACATGATCTCCGAAAACGTATACTTATACGGCAGGAGAATCGCGAGGACGGCAGCACCACCCAGGAGATATTGGACGCGGAAGGTATCTTGGCTCGGATCGATGGTCGGCTTGTACTTGGTGGTCATTAGGTAGATGATGTAGCCCTGGCTGCTGATGAAGAGGATCTTGAAGATGATGTTGTAGATGCTCGACGTGTTGAAGAGATCTACCGAGAATTTGTTAGCCCTACTCTTCTGCCTTACTCTTCTGTCTTGTCATAGAATAACATACCTAGATATCGGGTAACGTAAACAATTAAATACAAGGCTTGCGATTTGAACGAGATACCAGAAGCGCCCTAAAATAGCTAGGTGTTAAACGTTACCCGAAACTCGAAACTCGAAACTCTCCAAACCGCGGGACGCAACTAACATTGAGCTCGATCATCTTGTGTAAGAGGATCCCGATGGACGCTAAATGGGAGAAATCTCCTAAACATAATTGTTAGAATATTTACAAGAAACAGAGAAACACCTAGTCGCATTGATGCCTACCCATGACTCGGAAGGCGTTTAACGGCATGGTTGCTTAGAGGGAGCAAAGCTCCAAGAAGGCTTTTCAAACGAATGGGTGTAATCGCGTCAACGGATAGACCTTATTTAAAATAGTCATGTAGGAACTGAGCCTATACGAGGGACTCAAACGGAGGATTCACAGACGTGTCCGCGAATACTAAAGGTAACTGTTATGCTGCTGTTATGTTGACCGGCAGAGGCCTTAAGAATGTTTCTTGAAAGGACACAATTACACCTGCGACGCGATTGACGTATGATTGGATCCCTGGAGGATTGCTAGTGCCGTGCTACCTGGTCTTTCAATTGTGGCTTGTTAAGAACGAAAATATCCAAGATTAGATTACTAGCCACACTTTGAATGATGTCACATAATGTACCTATTATCTCCCTATTGGCTGACATTTATATGGTGGAGCAAACTCTAACGGCGCTCGGCATCGGTTCGTACCTGATACAAAAGTGGAGAACGGCCAATCGAATCTCTTGGCAACTTGAGGCATCCGACTTCTGACGTACCGACGGATTACAAAGCTACCCTCTTGTTACAACACATACAATAAATATATGTAAGTGAACCACACTTTGTAGAATCTTCGATAAGAATGGCTAGAAAGAAATCATAAATTCTGCGAAGCCAATAGGTAAGGCTGTTTTTTTTCTTTCTTTAATATCTTATCATTTCATATACGTGTAACTCTATCCTTATAACTAAGGTAAATATAAAAATACCTTTATCTCCGATCCAACCTCCATCCTCTATCCAATATCACGCAACTACAAATATGGCGGGCCAAGATGAGATGCCTCCCGAATCCGGTGAGATCACTATCAGTCTCACACATCACGGAAACCCGCACAACTTCACCATAAACCCCACCGCCACCGTCGCCGACCTTGCCGCCCAAATCCAGGATGAACTGTTCATCCCCGTCAGCAACCAGAAGCTCATGGTCTCGAAGCTCGGCCTGCTCAAAGCCCCCTTCGCCGAGCGCCCCGTCGCCGATCTCCAAGACAAGAAGATAACCCTAATCGGTACATCGACCGAGGAGATCGCCTCCTTAGCATCGGCCTCTCAAAGCGCAGCGCAGCGACAAGCACACCTAGCCGCCGCGCGACGCAATCTACCCAAGGCATACTCGCGGCGGGACTCGCAGCGCGTTCTCGACGACAGCACATACACCTTCGCGACTGTACGCCCTCTGGCCAACTTACCGCGCCCAGAGCGCTCCCTCGCCTTCCTCGAGCGGCTAAAAGCCGACCCGGGGATCCGAGCCGCAATGCGCACGCACAAATTTAGCGTCGGCCTGCTCACAGAAATGGACCCGTTATCGTACACGGAGGCTTCGCACGAGGGCACGACGCGGATCCTAGGACTGAACCGCAACGCGGGCGAGATCATCGAGCTTCGTCTGCGCACGGATGCGTACGACGGGTACCGCGACTACAAAACCATCCGCAACACGCTGTGTCACGAGCTGGCGCATAACGTGCACCAGAACCACGACCGCGCGTTCTGGGACCTGACCCATCAGATCGAGAGGGAGGTCACGCGCGCGGATTGGACTCGCGGGGGCCAGAATGTGGCGGGCGGGGAGTTTTATGAGCCGCCCGGGACCGGGACGGAAGAGGAGGTGGCGTATGATCATGGCGGGTGGACGGGCGGGGCGTTTGTGCTTGGAGGGGGGAGTGTGGGAGGTGGAGGTGCTGCTGCTGCTACGGCGGGGCAGGGCGCGTTAAGTAGACGGGAGATCATGGCTAAAGCGGCGGAGGAACGTATGAAGAAGAAGAAACAGGCTGAGGAGGAGGCGAAGAGGAATCGGTGATGTGTTGAGATGAGATAATGGGGATATGCGAATCTACCAAGCATCTTATGTTTTTGTTTTAATCCTTAGCTAGGCGAAACAGGGGGAGGGCTTCATGATTTATATTTATGCATGGCTACGGCGTTTAAGGATGGTCCAAGTTGGATTGATCTATAGACAAGCGGATAAGCGTATATTTTACTAGTTACGAGCCGTTTGAACAATATAGCAAATCTTTTTAAGGGGCGTGGGATGCTTTTATTCGTGGTATAACGTTTGTCCTTCATTGCCCCTGAAATAGAGATGAGCTCAGCAAGGGGGAAAGGTGCGTATAATGGTAATTCATACATGTTTTTCAAGGAAGATATTTCTGCTCATAGGAGATCGATCCTTAACGGGTGCTGACGCGCGCACTAGGTTATATCTATCTCGTTCTACTTACAAGAGACATTTCATTTATATATAGGAAATTACATCTCCCAGAATCTAAACTCAGGGGAAGGTTTACCATAAGCAACAGCTCTTATCGCGCCCCCTTTACAACCGTCTTCTCCACAACCACCACCACAGCCTTCCCATCCTGCTGCTGCTTCGCACCCGTCTTAACCTCCTCCTTGTCCTTGTCCTTGTCCTTGTCGCCCGGCCGCGGCTCCGGGTTCCTAACCCACTCCTTGAGCTCCGGCACCCAGCGATGTCTACCACGCCGGTCAGCATCATCACCTTACTGTTTGCTTTTTCCAGGGGGCGGAAGAAGTATAGAAATTAAAAAGAATAAAAACCAAAATTAAAATAGTCGGGGGCTGAGAAGGTAAATAAATGCGCATATTAACAACCCCCCCCCCTTCCAAAAGCTGGTACGGTTTACTCACCCAGCCCACTCCGTATTAACAAGACTCTTGGCGCCATACTCGTCCGTCAGGATCTTATCGAAGGCGTACGGCACGCGCGCCGGCACGCCCTCGAACTCGGTGCGCCGCACGGGGTAGATCTCGCGCGTGCGGTACCGGTGCGCGTTCTTGCAGCTCCAGACCCCCGGCGCCCCTGCCGCGTCCCGCTCCGCCAGCCCCGTGATGTCGATGAAGAGCCCGGTCCCCGTGTCGATCCACCGCGCGTCGATGATGTTGGCGCCGTTGCCGCGCGCCAGGTCCGCGTGGTGCGGGTTGACGTCTAGGAGGTACGTTTTGTTGATGTATGCGATGGGTCCGGGTCCGTCGTCTATGCCGGTGTCTCTATCCCTGTCCCTATCTCCATTCCCAGTATCAGCACCCCCCCCACCAGCAATAATCCTCTCCCCGCCCCCCTGCCCCCCCTCAACGATAAAGCGATAATCGTGCAGCGTGCGGTTGAAATGGCGCCCTAGATACGACAGCGTAGCCGTCGGCATCTGCACGTCGAGATCGTAGTCCCAGGGCATGACGCGGCCGTTCCACCACCAGCCCAGCAGCGTCCCGTGCGCGAGCCAGGTGTCAACGCCGAGCTCGTGCGTCGTCGTGAGCCACGACCGGATGAGCCGCTGCAGCGCCGGGCCGTGCTCCGCGTACGGCACCACGCCCTGGAAGAACCGCGCGTCGTAGTGCCCCAGCTCGAGCGTGCCGCCTGCTTCGTGGAAGTACTTGGGTTGGTGCTGGGAGTCGGGCTTGGACTTGCTGCTGAGGCTTTTTTTGTGCGCGGTATTGGAATTTTGGTGGGAGGGGGGGTTTTCGGGGAGAGAGGATGCGGTTAGGGAGAATAGGAGGATCGGGAGTGTGAAGTGCATCTTGGAAAGGGGCAGCAGACATCCCTAGATGACCTGGGGATTCTACGGAGGGTTCATTGGGAAATATCAGTGACGAGACACATATTTTCTGCTAAGCAGCTTTCAGATGCTGTTGCCTTCTACCCCTAAATGGTATTAAAGGGCGATGATGCTCAATGAAGATAGATCTCGTCTTAAACCAAATCTCCGTCATATTGCGTGTTCAAGTGGCGTCCAGTGGTCATTTTAACTATTAGTGTACGGACATATGAGACTGCAGGCTTACACCACACTTCCAGTGACTGCGTAGCCTTGTTGTATTCTTGAAGTGTGCGGATTTGGTAGGGTGTGTGGATGGTCTGAAACCAACTATAAGCGTATACCGAGACCTAGGTTCCCTACACCACCGTCGAAATGCTGTTGGGGGAGATGTTGAGGGGCCTATTAATGACATATCATTTTTATGAGGGATATTTAACAACTTAAGCCATATTGACAAGAGGCTAGATGGCACAGTATTCTTCAAGGATATATAAATGAAAAGTTCTGGTATTACAGGGTCTTGATTGGCCCCCAGCTGGCACTCAAGGGTGCAACAGACAACTTTTATAGTAAAGGCTACCTTAGGTATCTACCTACACAACACACGGGTGTCCGAGAAGATAGCATAGGTCCTAACATAGGATACAAATCAACCACGCGAGTAAATCCCCAATGCAAGTTCCCCGAGTTAAAGCACTATAGAAACATGACAACGACATCATACATGGTCTCTTTCACCACTGGTGTTCATGCTACATGCCGTTGATATGCCGCTCCAATTCTCGGCCTTGAAGCATTATATCCAGTCCGTTATTCTGGTGCTTTGAGCATAGACTTATTGCAGAGTTTATATGGCTAGGTAGGACACCATCAACCCTAATAGCGATGTTGTACGATACAACGGTCGAGCATACGAGCCGCGAACTCTAGAGTGCGTCCTAAAAGAACTTTGATTATATAGCCTAGTCGCACATAATGTATTCCTAAGCCGGTTTACACACAATGGAATAGACAGACACTATGATCATTGCAGCTGCAACTCGCCCCCAACAGCTTAGTCCAAAGAAACGATATAAACCCCCAGAGATTGTATTCAGCAATAAATAGAACAAGGTCTGTGATACCATACCGGGCCATCTAAATCCATATAACGCACAGATGTAGGGCTAACTAGCTTCTTTAGCGGTCGCGGCTCGGCCCCTTAAACCATCAACGCAGTCCTGATGCAGTCGAGTGAAGTCAAATTTTCGAGTATCTGCTAAAGCGATATCTACGGACGTGAAATAGGCACCTACAAGCCGCCGGGGTTGTCAGCACACTACCTCGTAAGGGATGGTGAATTACACCTAAAGAAGCAAGACTCGAATCGCGAAGGCAAGGTAAACACTTCAAATAATCCTCTTGACTTATAAACGAGCTTCCTTATCCAACATTGCTTATTAAAGTAAAGTATAAACTGATTATTCGAAGCACTTGATATATTCCTATGATAACTGAGCTACATTCGTGCCCTTTCATGAACCACTTGAAGTAATTCTGCCTTAGTTATCTACAGTGTGGGAGATACCGGTGATGTATGAGGTTGCATCTAAGGGGATATATAGTAGTGTCATTATTAGGAATACCTTTTTCGATTTATCGGCTTTTAGCAGCCACATAAATACCCCTCCATAGTTGAACTATGACTCTATAAGCGATGTCCCTAATGCTCACCATCACCTGGCCTCAATATGTGCCATCTGATATTTGACTTAGGTAGACATATCAAGTAGAACCAACTAGCCGACCGATGATTTCGTCCGTTGACATCGAGGCAATCTCAGATAGCAACATCGTGTAGCCAATTAGATAGACATACCACGGATCTGGCTTAACTACAATATTAATAAGTCATCAAATTCTGTTCGACATGTCGCCTCAACGCCTGCGGGTCCTAGTCTCCGGTACCGACTCAAAGTCATCCGAGATCTCATCATCACTAATCTCCAACGGCTCCTGCTGCGACGCCTGCTGCGACGCCTTCTGCGAAAAGTTCAATTTCGTTTGGCGTGGCTTTGGGGTCGCTTTAGACGCAGCAGAAGTAGATACAGCCTTCGCTGTCTGCGACGACCTAGTAGATGCCGCCCTCGTCGTCGTAGTTCTCGTCGTAGCGCGTTTCGGTGGTGGCGGGGGATCAAAATCATCGTTATCCATTACGACGTCTTCCTCCTCCTCTTCCTCCGACTGTTCGAACACCTGCGCTTTACGACCTCGGCCTTTGGCGGGTGCTTTCTTCGCTGGGGTTGCCTTGGGTTTAGCAGCTGCTGCCCGACCTCTTGCCCTTGTTTTCGGCGGCGGCGGTTGCGGCTCGACATCCTCCATATCGTCATCCTCATCCTCTATAACCTGTGCCGCTTTTCTCCCGCGACCTTTGGGCTGGCTTATCTGGGGCGTTGTCTTAGTGGTAGTTGTCTCGTGGTCGATTGCCTGGGGTTGATCTTCCCAATGACCGTCGAGATCAGAGTCCCAAAGGTCCGGCTTTGGTTTATATTTACGTCGTTTTGCCTGTTTTATGTTGCCTGCAGTATACTGCGTCTCGAGGATCTGTTTAATGTGCCCCATTGCTGTATACATGTTTTCAGGGTCGGCTTCGTTGCCCTCTAATAGTAGCATCTGTCTCACTTGCTCCGAGAGCGACTCGCTCACAAACGATTCCATAGCATGCTTGTCGTCTTTGTCAACGAACTGGTTAACTGCATCACCGAATGGTGCTTGTGGAAGAATTTTCAGGGATTGTGCTTGGGCAGACAAAAATTCTTCAACTAGCTTGCCGACTTTAATGTCCTCTATATCGTCCAAGGCTGCTAATAGCTCATCTGACAATTCTGTATCCTTTGCAGTTCTCCCTACTACAGATTAGTAATATTTCTAATTGGAAAACCCGGCATTTCACTTACTCTGCGCCGTCTTTTTCCGGTAGAAGTATACAACATCGTTGGTATTTGCAACCTTTCCTTGGAACCGATTGGAGAATCGCTGCGGGTTTTCGATATCGTAATGGCCTCCTTCTGGAGCAGTGTATTCTACCTTTAGACGAATTAAGGGCAGAGGTCGTTCACCGTCTAGAGAATCACCCTCCTGAATAGATTCCCACTCGGCATTAGCTTCTTCGATCATTTCCTCGACTACGTCCATTAATTTTCGCGTGAGCTCCTGGCGGTTTTCTTTCTTCTTATCTAGATCTTTAAATCTCTTATCATTTGCTAGGATGATCTCGGCAGTCATGAAAGGGCGGACTGATTTCAATCGATGCTTCTCTACTTTGAAATCTCTCCCCGTGATGCTTACCACGGCGACGTGTTTGGCTACGGCTTCACCGGGGACTAAAGATGTGGCAACTGAGGAGCCTGGTTGCATAACATGGAAGCCAGTCTCTGGATTATGCGAAGGATCAATCAGACACTCGTGTTCGTGACCCCAAACGACCAAATCCAACCACTCAGGCAACATATTCTCGGGCAAATAGCCGGTAGCAGTGTGGGCATGATGATTCTGGTGAACGGCAAGGAGGTTGAACCAATCGCTTGATTGTTGGTTCGGTCTAAACCACTTGACATTATGATCACGGAATGTCCGAAACATGCGTTCATCTCGCACATTGCTTAATCCGTAAAGTGCTAATTTAGTCATGCCTTTCTGAAGTAGAACTGGCTTAGCTTCGATATCATCTGCTCGAGGCACACGCCCAAAATAGTTGACGAGTCCGGCGACCTGAAGCAGATCCAGAGAACAAAAGTTACCTTCGCCGCTAGGATCGTCATGGTTGCCATGGATGGAGAAGACGGGGATGGAGATATTGATATCGGGATCTTCATAGTTGACATGTCCAAAGGCACCTTGAAAGACTTCGTTCGCGTCGCTCAGGAACTGTATTTCACACGGCTTCAAGCCAAGACAGTTCTTCCTCAATGATCGCATAACCTGGAACATGGCCTTCCTGGACGGCTTATTATCGTGGAATAAGTCTCCAGCTAGTAGTACCATATCAACCTACTTTGTAAGCAACTATAAGCAGGGCTCCGAGAGACAGAACTTGCTTACATCTTCTTTCCGGGCTAAATTCATAATCTCATCGAATGACTTCCAGCTGTCATCGCCACGGATCGGATCTCGTTCCTCGTAACCCACATGATTATCGGTGGCGACGAGGATACGGATGGTATCCGCATCTGCGTTCCATATACGATTAACTGACATTCAAAATTGCCAATGTGATGCTACCTATGGAAACTCACCGGTTAATTGTGATTGTGCCATAATTCTTAACGTCGTTAATGGTAGGCTACGAGGCGACGAATATAAATATAGAATTAGCTAGAAGTGCCATCTAAGTCATTAGAAGGGCAGTTTCTTGAGATGATGTTATTTGTAGTCTCTAAGCGCTTTTGAGTAGGTATGAGAAGTGACTTTAATTAGGTATCTAAGAAATGAACTTAAGGGACAAACCGATGACGCGCCTCGCGTTTGCCCCGCCGTCTCGCTATCACGTGCCTATCATACGTATCTATTAAAGGTACCTAACCTAGGTACATATCCCGAGGCAAGTACGAATTAGAAGGTACATAGGTAATCACTGTCGCAAGAAGTGGCAACGTATAAACCATCCCCTCTTAAAGAATATCGGTCATGTATGAGGTAGACATACTGAAAATACACATCTCTATAGTCCAAGCCTTCGTATATTACACACATGTATCGTACCAGTCCCCCGAATCCGCATAAATAATGTAATCGTACAGACTGTATCAATATTCTTCGCTAGCATCATTCTACAATGATAAGCTTGAATTGTGTTTCTAAGGCTCTCAAACAATACGCAACACGCAATACTAAATCAATATCACAAGCCCGAAATCTGCGCTGACTCAAAAGGTGCAAAAGGTATCCTTCCAAAGAGGTGTTCCATCCAGTTCCAAAATCAAATACATCATCCGTCTTGAAAACGTATTCGAATGCATACCCGAAGAAAACGCCAGTCCAGTAGTTGAACCGAAACCAGAAACCCAAACCCGAGCCAATAAGTAAGACCTATTAACAATGTATACTCCGCGTCTCACGCATGTGACGATGAATGCATTTCCCAATTGCTGCTACTCTTCACACTTACGCAGCTGCTGCCGTAGGGACTGAATCCTCTCTGCTCACCTTCTCAGCTACCTCTTCCCACCATACTCCATGAGCTTCTCGATCTACTACTCCCACTTTAACAATCTCATCGACGATCTCTCGCACCTTCTCCCCAAACTCGGGCAGTCCAAGACTTGCAAGTTTCTCCCCAGCTGTGCTAGTGGCCTTGACCTTTTCGCTCGCGGAACCGGCTTGCAACCTAGCTAGGATGTGGCCTCTGATTCGTGTTAGAAGCAACCTTAATACAGGCTCTCCAGGGTCCGTATTGTCCCGGTTTGCATCCATGCTAGCAGCAAGTACCTTTGTTACAAGAGCTTGTAAGTGTGCTTTAGTGGCTGTTGGCATCGACCGCCCTGCTTCGAGCGCCGCCATGATACCGTGCGTAGCCGTAGACTGAGGGAGTGGCTTCGAATCATTATCCATAGACTCAAGTACCGTCAATATGCGACCGGCTTCTGTCCTCCAAGGGGCTCGGACATCGCGCTTGAGCATATTCTTGCACTGCAGGAGGATGGCACCCGCTGTAACGATGCGCATCGTCTGACGGCCTATACGAGCACGACGTTTTGCATCGAGGGCGAGTGGCTCCGGCACAGTTTCATCTGATGGTGATGGTTGTGTGAACTCGTCTAATAGCATCTGCCAATAAATTTTGTCCGGAGTGGGCCGCGAACGTGGATGATTGATGCCCTCGGGGTCACGGCGCGAGACTTCCGCAAGCACTTTATTGCGCGCAGTTCGCCAAGAAGCCTCCGCGCGATGAAGCGTGATCGTGCCATCCTCCAGCTCCTCGGCAAATCTCTTTGTTTCGTATGCAGAAGCGTGCTCCACGAGACTTGGTGCTGCAACTTGTAACATGTAATTCGCGTAATCATAAAGCATAGTATCGATAAATGAAAGGAGCGCCTCGAGGCGATCGACAACGTGCCCTTGACTAAGTTTGTTCTCGACTAGATCTTTTACCTCGTCATCACGAACCGGAGCGCAAAGCTTTGGGAGAAGAGACCCCATAGACGAGAAGAATCGCTCATACGAAAAGCTACCGGCTAAGAATTGCTGTTGTGAAACCTCGGTATCGAGTATTTCGCCGATAAAAGTGTGCATAGATGAGCCAGGCTTGACTAGATGCTGAAGTCTGTCTCTGATGTAGTTGGCCATTATCAAGAGATAATGAAATTCCTTCTCTTCGTCTCTCGGGCCGGTTTTTAGGTCCTGAAAAAGGGGGTCCATGCGAAGCTTATGCTGTTCTTGGAAATGCTGATATTCAATGCGATACTCCCGATTGATAGCTAACTCGTGGACAATTACTCTATTGTCCGGGAGGATCGGGGGGTAAGCCGGCTGGCTTACGTTAAATTTCAGCTCTTTCTCTCGGAGCGGAGAAGGAGGTGGCGTGAGCGTCTGCAATTGAGACGAAATAACATGATCGGCCGTTGCGTTGCTTCCGACCGAATTATCATTGCTAATATCATGTTCGGTGGCTCGTGGTTTCATGTCGCCTGCAGGTCTTTTCGCAGCCCTGGCCTTCCTTGCTTGCTTGACGGCATCAAAAATCATCTTCTTTCCTCGCTCGGCGCCGGCAAGCCTCTTTATCCGGACCATCAGCATCAGCTGGTTGTCCTTGATGCTTTGTCGGTAGGAATCAGCAACGGCTTCTTCGGTGCCATCTTTAACCGTTTCGAGTATTGCATCAAGCTCCACGAATTGTAGGATCATGACTTCGACCAACGCATTTGAATCACGAGCCTTCCATGCTATGAATGCATTGTGGAATGTTGCATACGACTCTGGTAAAACCGCCCGCAACGCTGGTGGAACTGTATAATTGTTCATCGAGGTCAATCGAGAAAGGATATTCTCGAAGGAGATCAACAAATCTCGTGCCTTGCCGACGAGATCCTGTAACTGTGGATTAGCCAGATCATCATGAGGAATAGGTTGCCCTTGAGAAGATCCAACCTGCTCCTGCTCTCCCCTATGATCCTTATTGCTAAGGACCTGGGTAGGATGGCCTAAAATTAAGAAAGCGCTCAGGAACGTGCGAACAGCGGTCATCTCATCCACCGACCCTGTTTCGCCCTCTTGTAAGCCGCAGATGCGCAATACTCTTGAAGTGAGCAGAAGAACCCTCTCTTGAGCAAGAAGTTCGGTCACTTGCTCGAATGAGGTATCTCTGACGCCATCAATGTTCAAGCCGAGCTCGGAGAATTGGCGTGCCGCCATTCTTCTCAGTACTCCTCTCCACCACCATTGAATCTTAGACACCGCTACGTCCTCGCTCATGAGCACGACATCACTCATGCTCGAGGATTCGTGTTCCTCTTCCTCTGGTAAACTACTTGTGTCAGATCTCTTCGTCATTATGCTCTGGCCTCTAGAACGTTTAGCCGTATGGCGACTGCGTAATTCCTCCCTCCTCTTCTCCGCCTCAGCCAATCGCTCCTCCATCTGGGACTTAAGCTTGCGCAGCTCCTGTTCCCTTTTTTCCTTCATGCTTTCGGCTACTGCTTTGGCCCGCTTTACTTCTTCGGCACACGCAGCGACGATTTCGGCTAGGTTCTTCTCTCTAGCTTGAGCAGCAGCCAACGCACGCTCTTCTAAATTGGAACTCTTTTGGTGGGCTGCCTTTGCCATGGCCGCTCTCAAGCGCACCTTCTCAGCGTGCGCCGCCCTATCGGCTAGACGGGCCTTGCGATCTTCGAGGATCGAGGCACGACGCATCTGCTGGGCAATGTATTTGCTCTGCGGGCCGCCATGGTGGTTAAAGCCATGCGAAGACCGCGACTGCGCAGAGGAGATCGAATTACGACGCGACGAGGCGGCCGACTCTTTTCGACGATTCTGACTAGGTCGATAAAATCGAGCGGCTATGTGAGGAGGCGGGGTGTATATTCTAGCGCCCTCATCATCTGTTGTCAAAGTCATGTCTAGATCAGAATCTATAGATGTCGGGTCTGGAGTGCCTATTGATTCCTCGATATTTCGAGAGGGGTCGGTTAAGTCTACGGAAGCGCGACGCATTGTGACGACGGATCGTTGGGGTTAGGAGGGGCGTTATGTATAAACGCGCTTATCCAGGGTCAACGGTCAACGTTTAACGGTCAACTTCGATGCACGTAAGAAATGAGAGGGGGTGCGGCACGACAAAAATGACGAAAATTAGTTGACTGTCTGCAAGCACCAGCAGGGTACGTTTATGGGTCGTAATTTGGTCTTGTATAATTCGCGTAAAGCAATCGAGTCTCAATTATGCGTTGCTCGTTGTCACTGTTCGTTTGGTGTGGCGTTCTCCAACCACAGGCCAACAACGAAGTATGGAGCGCAGCTAACAAGTAGTAAAGTGGGAACGAATGGGACTTTGAAAATGATAGGTGGCCGCCACAAGGACCACAAGTGAAATACAAGCTTAGAAGAAAAAGAAACAAACAGAAGATGGAAAGAAATATGAAGAATACAATAGTAAACGAGTCGCAATAAGGGCGAAAATTCGCAGGATTCCTACTGCAGACTTCCGAGTTGACGGAATGGGAAGAAGAAGAAGAAGAAGATGTATAATAAGTTAAAAACGCAACCAGAAGAAGAGTGGTTGGCGTAAGTGCAGTAAATAAACCTGGAAAAGTCTAGGCTGGAACATTGGACATGGGAACATGGAACATCGGTTCGCGGTACAACCAAAATGCAATTATGACAGATGACGAAAGGATTGCAACTGAAAAGGCCAGCCGTAAGCTGGTCGTCTCAGTGCCCAGTTCTACATGTAGCTAGTCCACCCAAATGAAACGGCGAAACAAGCATGAAGTGTGTATGTACAAAGTACAGCAGGATGTAAGTACAGAACCTTATCTCTTGCATCTCTGACTAACCCTTCTCGTATGTACATAGAATATGTACATACCAGTTCGGTGCCTTTAGTAAGCGGGGCACCAGTACGTTCTTTCCGTTTCCACCTTCTACCGCTCCGCTTCCGTTTCCCATCGAAAAGTTAAAAGATCCAATGCTATGTAGAGTATGTACATTAGGTACATATGTAGGTATCGCATCTGCACATGGATGCATGTCTTAAGTACCTAAATACCTACATCCATATAACCCCCGTGATATTACTAGCGTGAATTCCGGGTTTTAAAGGGTCGTTATTAATGCATGCTTGAATCAATCCTCTAATGCGCTAAAGATAGCATCACGCTGATCAGATCTACCTACATACATATATCTAGATATCCACCTGATGTTTGCAACCTCATATTAAATGATCAGGAGACTACCAAGCATGTAGCAAACGCGCCTATGCTCTCCCCGTTTCGTACGTGG